CTGAACCATAGCCATATGCTGAAACCATAAAATGAGATGACCAAGACGGTAGAACCGTAATCGATAGGAAAGAAAGTTGGCGCAAAATAAAGACATACGAGACCGGGTCAAAAGAGAGATTGCCCTCCGACTGCATTTCCGAGGAATTCACTTCAACCACGTACTTCCATACATCACAGGTCAAGCCCTCTTAAAGCCCAACCAAAGCAAAGCCAGCGAGTCAGTTCGACTTTCTTGATGTCCGAAGGTGAAGACAAGTAGAGAATTAACCTTGACCGGAGCACCGAGAACGAGAACATATAGTGCCTTTATTTTTTCAATTATGCCCGCTGACCGCTTTAGGAGGTGGAACCCCGAAGGAGAGATAGGGTTGAAATTATCACCTCACTGACGAAGCCTTTAGCAGATATCACATGCATGGGTGGGGCATTCAAACTTTGAAAAGGGGCAGGCCCTGAACACTATTATTCTGACAACGTCGATCTGGCCATATGTCCCGTAGTGATGATAAATAGAGAAAAACATCCAACTTCCCTCCTCCAGATTAGACTATTGTGCCAAGAGCACCACAAATGAAATGAACAAGGACTGATTTGGAAAGAAGGTTTGAATACGAACCTGACCTAGAAGGGGCAAGAAATTTTAGGGAAATCAAACAAAGGAAGAGAAATGTGGGACCTGAAGTGAGGACCACGTGTGGCAGGATCCGACCCAGAGGTTTTGGAGTTGACATCAGCTTTTCTTCCTCAAAGCCAGCCTCAAGGCACAAAGTTGAGGGCGAAAAGCCTTTTTGAATAAAGAAAGAGGGACTTCGATTGTCATCTAGTGATTTTTCATATACTGATTTTTGGCCTCAGGTCGAATTTCCTAGGAACGAAAGGAGTGGCATATACTAAGATGCTGGCGAGAATGGATTCTTGAGCCCCTTATTTACCTGGCGCCAACCTAATAAAAGATCGAAGTACCAAATGCTTAGGTCACCCGAGAGAGGCCTACGGGGCATTACGAGATAAAAAATCTCCTAGGTCGTGCGTGGGTCAAGATCAGAGAGCTACAGGTACACCCGGGGCAACAAAGCACTCACAGGCGGGGTCGAGGCAAGGGCAGCACGTCACAGAAGTTCTCAGCTTAATCTTACCGGCGCTATATCTTGGGTGCGCGATATGGTGGGACTGTCTAACATAGAGACCCCTAAGCATCCCTGAGTTACATCAGCTGGCGGAGGCAACACAAATTGGGGAACCGGCAAGTTCTTCCGCAGAAGTCAGGCAGCTAGTAGACCACCTCAGTGAGCAAGCCAGGGAGGTAGCCAGTGAAGCTTCAATGGAAAGAACACCCAGAGCTCTTGCAATATGGATGGTTGGGCTAACGCTAGCATTCGCTATCTCCATAGCGCTTGCTCAAAAGGTCAGGGGTTATACTGGTTATTAATACGAGCCTGGAATTTATGGAAAAAGGTATACTACTCAAGAAGAGCTCTTCCCCCCTAGATCTTTGCTTAGGAAAAAAAGTCGAGTAGTCGTAATTCGAAAAAAATGAAGGTGGGGTTGGGCAGTAGCATCGAGATCTCATAGAGGATGCATTTTTATTGCGGGCTCCCTTTTAGATGTGGATTTAGGTGGTTTTTTTTATGCAAGACGAGTGAAATAGGAAAAGAAAGGTGGAGGTTGACCTGCTTTGTGACAGATGTGGAATGGAGCCTGAATCTACCATTCATGTTTTAAAGGGCTGCCCCTGGGCATCTGGCATTTGGCTACTCTGCCCATTAGCCCTTCATACTCAACAGATGCATGCTCTCTCTCAGATTAGGTAAAGGAGATGGGGAAGTGTCTTGATGAAGAGCAGCTGGAACTGATGCTAGTAGTTGCATGGGTTTTATGGAGTGATAGAAATTTGCTGCTGTTCCAGGACATACAGAACTATCATGTGGATGTGGTGAGCAAAGCAATCAGCTTCTTCTAATAGTATAAGGAGAAGCTACAAATTATGCAAACACCTATTGGCAGGCCCCACCCCATGGTGTTTTTAATTTTAATATTGATGCTGCTATTTTTAACCAACAAGGGATTGGCTGCTTGCTTCATCCCGCCCTTCCTTCCCTCACCTGTCCCACGCGCTCTTTGATGCCGAAAATCCTATGTTCTGAGTGACCATGAACACACTGCTTGAGACCCTTCTTTCTTGTGAATGGGTACGAAAGAAAGCAATTCTTCGCATCACTCCTTCCTTGGATTAGTAAACTATTATCGATAATTCGTGGAGGGTTCTTTAAAGGCCCTAACCGATAGGAATCAAGGATGAGTCTCTACATCTATCTTATATATGTTCATTTAGGATTAAAAAGGCTTTAGGAAGACAATGAGATCTCAGACTTTCCTGAAAGCTTAGTAAGGGAGTCCTAAGTCGAATAGCCTTATTCAATGATTTTTGAGTGAATACCCGAAAGAATGGACAGCCCACGGGGTCACTATGTCCTTAAAGACTCATGTTATTGTTCACG